TTGACACACCAAGTACATTTGGGGTTTTAAAGTGCACGCATTCTAATATGCAAGATGAGTTCAGCGCCTGCAGGCTTCTCTGAAACCCTGACGTTCATGCAGAACCGTGAAGGATCCACACACACACGGTTTCCCCCTGATGCAAATGATCCATCTTTCCTCGTTAGATGACGATCATCACAATGATGGAATAGAGAAGTCAGTTTTAAGTGTGTTCAAAATGTGATTATCTGTGATTAATGCTTGACTAAGTCCTTTTGCTCCACAGCGGTGTGGACTTCCACCCCACGTCCAACAGCCTGATCCACGGCACCCACGTCCCCTCAAAGGACGGCATTGACCGCATGGTGGATGATGTTGAGAAACAGTAAGTCACACTCAAATCATCCTCTCCTGATCCTGTGCTAAATTCACCTCACTCTTAGTTCGTAAACGATCCCTCCATAGAATCCCCTCCTTGACTTTATGTAAAACATGTTTAGGCTCAACCCTTAAAAAGAAAATGGCCTATAAAAGACTAAATAGTCCAGTTATTGATAGAAAAGTGCAGATGTGTATGTAAACATCTGCTATTTCAAAGGATATTAAATGCATTCACATACAAACAGGATGCATTAAAACTCATTTACTCAACATCCCAATAGAAGCTCTGAAAAAGCTTGATGGCGAGGACTGAATAAATGAACATTATATGGCAACAAGGGCAAAAAACCGTTCTAATTATGATTGGCTTTAGCAAGTCTACCAAATGAATTATTTCTGAACCCGCTGATGGACAGTGGGTACATTCAGAGCCTTGTTCCCGGCACTGGTACGCCGCAAACGTGGCGTGGAGTCTGGAAATATGAGAAGATCAGTCATAAGAGATGATTTGTGGAAGGAATGAATTTGTGACCTCTGTCAATTTGGGAATAAGGGCCTGTGTGATGTGAGGGTGGAAATACCTTCAACAGAATAACTCAGGATAGAACCAAATGTACTGAATTGAGTGTTCTGGTAACTGTGAGTAAGCTTTATGGAACTCGCTACAAAGTCAGAACACTGATCAATTTAACCAATTGGGCGTACAACACGAAATGTCTGCCTTAGTTTTCTGTTACTGTTGTCTTTGTACCAAGTCCTTTTCACCTTGTTGTTGCCCCAGTCCTCTTCAGTTGTTGTGTATTGAAGACAGCCCCAGGCTCATGGGTTCAGTTGCCAGGGAATGACGCACAACAATGCTTTGAAGAACCAAGAGCTCACAAATTGACAGCATTTCTCCAAGTATGCGTGTTTGGTTTTCCATTGCCACTTTCCATGCCAAATTCAAACGCACAAACCCCCCCCCCCCCCCCCCCCCCCCCCCCCCAAAAAAGAATTGCCTGCAGCCAATTATCGTTATTGGATATGCCATGGATAGTGGCCACACTGGTTTGTGCAATCCTGCCTAAGCTGCTTTTATTTGCCCACGTCAGGATCGAGAAGCGGGCCAAGTACAGCAGACGCAGGGCCTACAACGACGACGCGGACATCGACTACATCAACGAGAGGAACGCCAAGTTCAACAAGAAGGCGGAGCGCTTCTACGGCAAATACACAGCGGAGATCAAACAAAACCTGGAGAGAGGCACAGCCGTCTAGAAGCTTCTGCAGCCATAGTCTGGAGTCTTGGGTGCATTTTTTTTTCATGTGTTACAAGCCAACAATACTCGTTGTTATATCATTGCTAGAGCTGAGAAAGAATTAATGTGATGTGTGGTGGTCCTTTGTATAGTATGGGGGTGAAAACAGCTGTTATGATTAATCTTTTTATTTCTAAATAAACCACTGACAGTTATCTTGCACACTTGTTTGTTTTTCTGTGGGTTCCTGCGTGTGGTGGGGGGGTTTGGAGCGTGAGAATGAACCACCAGTAAGTAGCTACCATCAGACCTCGGGGCACATTAACAAGGCCATGCCCGCCAACATAATGTTTCGGTGTTGGTCCAAATAGTGATAAAGACCAACAATTGAGCAATTGAATGTATTCATTATCGTCTACATCTCTGACTAACTGGCCCCGAGCTGAACATGAGCAGGAAGCCTTGTGACTGCAGGAGAGATGAGACGGCAGCAGGTTCCCATGCCAGGCCCCCAGTCTGTGTGAAAACACCAGCAATGCCCTCTGCAGGGAACACAGCCATGGCTTTGTGTACCAGTATCAAATCGAATCTTTATTTTGCATCTAATCCTGATGAATCAAGCCTCCCAGAATACATTTGAAGGATGCCCTCAAAGGGGGCTTCGCAAAGACGCCATGACACACGTTGTTTATGTTCTAATGATGAAAGGTAGAGGTGCCTTTAAATGTCTTTGATATCTGACTGTACTACAGTTAGGGATTATATTTTCAGATGTATTATTGGGATATTTGTTTGTAGTTGTATCTGATTAGCTAGAGGACCTTGGCTGGGAATCATGTCAATTAACTTTTTAGATCATGACACCTTTGTTTCTTTCAAGGCCAACTGCCAAGTAAAGTAAAGCAAAATGGGTATGATTTAAAGCCTGGTAAACAATCAAGAAATGACTGGATAAATAGCAATGACTTTAATTGGGGAGTTTTTCCGTAGACATAAAAGTCCGCAAGCAATAAACTGGCAACAAATCTTATAAAAATAGATGAAGCAAATCATGACATATTGCAAACTCACCTCTTCAGTCTGGCTTTTAATGTGCGATTGTTTTTGTATTGCTTGATTTTAATTAGACTTGTCAATTAGACTATATATATTTGTTTTTCTGTTCTTTTCACTATATCTGTAAAGTGTCTTTGAGCACCTGTAAAAGCGCTAACAAAATAAATCTATTATCTTCATCAGTTCTATAAGTATGACTATTATACATTGCAAGAAATACAAATGTTTTCTTAAAGGTGCTCTATTTTGCTAGTTCATATTTGTATTTTGTGCCTCTACTGTGACATCTTTTCATGCTTTAATGTTCAAAAAGGTTTTTATTGATCTCTTCACCCTCTGTCTGAAACCAGAGCCCACGTTGGTGTGATTACACAACAGGGATGTCTTTAGTTGTGAGTGTTGGGGGGTCTACCAGGGGCCGTGCTGGTTGTAAAGTCTGACCGCTGCAGGAGGGAAGGACCTGTGGAATCTCTCCGTGAGACAGCGGGGGTGCAGCAGCCTGTTACTGAAGGAGCTGAACAGTGCAGAGGGGGTGGGACACATTGTCCAGCAGGGAGGACAGCTTGTCTGCCATTCTCCTGTCTCCCACCACCTCCACAGTGTCCAGAGGACAGAGCTGGCCTTCTTAACCAGGCTGTTCAGGCGCTTCCTGCCCCAGCAGACCACACCAAAAAAGATGGCTGATGCGCCCCTGAGCATATCATGTACAATGTGTTGGAGAGCTAGCCAATAGAAGCACAAGTGTTATGAAGTGATGTCAATATGTAACAGAAGTAAACAAAGGAGTACCATTGATGCCTTTATCAGAGGGGGGAGACTCCCTCTGGAGGGAACTTTTGGATTTTAGCCTTTGCATTTAGAAAAACCTATACAACACACTACAGGAAAGGAAAACACAAACAATAGAGCTCCTTTAAAACTAGACATTACTCTGCTTTTCAATGATACTGGCATATAACAAGTCAACTGGGCCTGCGCTTGTTCTCACATACTGCTCCAGCTCCTTTGAGACTCTGTTGTGTATTTGCATGTCTTATCTCTAATCAAAGCAAGGAATCAGAATAACAGGTGAGTTGTACAGCAGGAGACACGCAGTCTGGCTGTCAGACATCATAAAACAGTGTGATTTTACCTTTTTATTACAACAGATTGTGACCTGTATCTAAATATCATCTCAAGAGCAGTACAATGTATTACTCACTTTACAGATCGCTATCTAATCCGATAGATACCTTCTGGCAATAATACATCTGTAGTTTATATTTGTCAGGAACTAATCAAATTTAAAATACACACACACACTTAACAGCCGCCTGAACAGCACGATGTATCAAGTTATTCAAGAAGGAACATGTTCACATCATGTGAGAGCAGACAGATGATCACCAAACATTAATAACCAACTGATTCCCCTCACATAAAGAAAAGATCGCTGAGTGCCTGTAATTCTTCGACTGTGATCACTATACCATGGCCCTAAAGCTAATGGGATTCAGCCATCAATACCGTAAATGAATGATTATTTTTGTGTTGCTTTAAGTAGATGTCCAAGTAAATATCTGAATCATAGACATGACTTCATAAATAAACAATGATTTAAAAAAGTGAAATCGCCATATAGGAGATACAGATATTAACTATTAAAAACGATGTATGTTCACTTTTATGTCGCAATGGTTTTATTTATGCACAAACTGAATCAAAATGTCGAGCCTACATAAAACAAGTTGAGTTTATTTGTTTAAACGTGTGTATGGATACCTTGGTTTTATGTGAATTAGGAACCACCGCATCAACTACCCTGAATTGCCACACATATTGAAACCCCTAAAAAAACAGATATGGTGATTCAACGGTCTCGAACCAGGCGACTGCATCAACCTCAGTCTGAAACAACACTCATCCCAGTGACAGACAACTCTGTGGTAATACTGCCACCGTGTGGGCACTGATCCGTACTGCAACCCTTAAGCTGCACAGTAGGATAATGGCCGTTTAATGAATCACAGGGCGCCGCCATATTCTGTGTAGCGATGGTACTGTTTGATACCTGCTTATAACCAGGCTATTCTGGTGTGAGTTCTTTTGTGGATATGTTTCTTTTAAGATGATGCTTAAAGACACAGGCCTATCCCACTATAAATTGTTTTTATACCCTACATACATACTCTTGTAACTGATTTGTAAGAGGCAAGTTATTTTCCAGTATGGATAAATAACCTTTTTGGTATTTGTCAATACAAAACAAATGATTTTAGTCAATGCTGGAAAAACTCCCAATTCAAGCTCTTCATTTAAAGATGGCAGTTCATAGATGTATGAGACAATAACAGACATAAAACATTGTAATCAAATAAATATCTTTATTGAAAAAAAGCACAATATACAACAAAGGGAAAAAAATATCCCACCTGAATGAATTTCTTCAGTTGTTCCCACTTTACTCTTTCAACATCTGAAAAAAAATTGCGACCATAATATGTTGAAGCATATGTACAAATCATGTGCAGTATTTACAGGGTCCATGCACTCTGACACACTAGTGTGTCGTAGAGAATGTGTGTTTGCGCGCATTCATAGATTTGCCTGATTTGACCCGAACCCAGTGACCGTAGGGCTTCCTGCTGTCGAAGCTGTCCACTCTGGAGGTTACCTTAGCTCCAGACTGAGCCGCCAGCGTGGGCTTCACCAAAGAGTTCTAAGGAGGGAGAAGATGGGAGAAAAAAGACATAAGACAAACTGAATAATGTTTTTTAACAGTTTGGGGAAAACAGGAGGAAGCTGCTAACTTAAAGTCACTTACATTAATGCTGAAAGAGATAGTTTTCCTTTTTGGGGACATCCTGGGGCTGAATACATCATCAGACTCCTCCTCATCGCTCTGTTTCAGAAAGACAAGAAAACCACACCTAGTTAGATATGTGTGTGAAACTGATGGTAGGGTGGCTCTGACAGTTTGCAAACTTCATATAGATGTGTTATAGTCCCCATTGTCAAATTGTGAAGCACTTCTATTGCATGTTAATTATTTAAGTGTTAACTTCAACACTTAAAAACCCCATCCCACTGTTGTCAAAGACTCGGCTCGAGCATTAACTGAATCCTACTAAAGTCAGACCTTGAAACATAATTAAACAATAAAATGAAAGAGAAAAAAAAGGATCAAGTAAAAAGGGATGTCTTCTCTGTCTACATTGGCTGAATGGTGGTGACGTAGGTTTCCCAGCTCAGCACACGGCTGGTGAACCAACTTATCTTTGGCATACGGAGTGGAGTTCTTCATCTGTTTCTAGCTCTCGACAGGGATAGTCACTATAATGCGGTCCACACGCCTTTGCTCCATCAGCGAGTGAAGGATTCTGCTAAATAACAACGACCCATTTCAACTGCAAGCATAAATACATTGGAAATTTCAAAATTTGAAAGTGGAGTCAGTGTAATATAATGTATGAATTTCTTGAGCATCATATATGTGTATAGTTAGCATTTGTATGGACTTTGTACATGTCTGATTGTGAGGTAATCTACATATGTGTTTGTTTAACTGCAGGCCTCTAGTTGATACACTTACACATCGTGGAAATTATAAAGGAGGTATCAGATAAACTTTCACGCAAACATATTGTTGTCACCCAAGTCACATGACAGCCCTTTACTCCCAGGTGCCGATGAGTGAAGGAGACCACTGTCATGTTATCTATGAAGACAGGAATAAATACAGAGAGCATGTGTATTCCCTCAGGGGTCCAAGCACACAAGACAGGAAATTCAACACAACATTGACCTCAAGATAAACAACTGTAGACGTTAGACTGTATCTTTGATTAAAAAAATGATGCAACAGCTAAAATCAGCTTATATTATGAAAATATTAAGTCATCCTGTACAGCTTAAAGAGCCTGTGACAGCCTCCCAGCAACTGTTGTGCAATGAAATATTGGGCTACTAGTCATCTTGAACCGTCAGTTTAAAAAAGAAAAAGCGATACCGTTCCGTTAAATATCAATAATTTCGAACATCGCGGGGAAATTCCTTCGACTCATTTTGAAGTTTTGGGGGAAGCCGGAAGTGACGTCAATGCGGGAACGCTTCACTGAGAGAGAGCGAGAGAGCCAAACACGGACAAAGTGTGTTGTCATGCGTAGAAATGGTGAATTACTGAGTTTAGGCACGTTAATAACGTTGTAATGAAGTTGACGACAGTATATTCATATTTGTCAGTGCATTCATGTCAATTCGGCGAACATAAACATAAATGATCGTGGTGAAGATGATGAGTAAATTAGGATTAAAATCGGAGCTGCTGAATTTCCTCACGTCGGAAGTGATATAAAAACAAATCGATTATTTTTGTAGTTGTAAACTCAAGTGGATGAATCTACATGTATTAGTGCTTTCATGTCAATTCGGCGAACATATGATACATTAAATGATCGTGAGGATGATGATTAAAAATCGTTTGTTTGAGCCGGTCTGCATTTCCTGATGAGAAAACAAACCGATGCTTTTTGTAGTTGTAGTACACCAACATGGATTAAACGTGTGTTTTTTTACCACAATGTTGGGAAATGAATGGATAAAATGCACGGATTATTATTATTATTATTCCCACTCCGATCGGGACACTAGGTCCACCGTTTCCCCGCAGCGAGGCTCCCCCCGTTGACAGTTTACGTGGGATGGGCCGGTCAGATAAGTCACTAGCACATCCCCCACTCCCCTCGTTGACAATTTACTAGCGGTACCGAAGTGGGCCGGTCGAGAGTCCCGGGCTGATTTTTAGTCCCAGTCCACCACTGGCTACATGACCGTATGATCGCCCATATTGACGCACCTCATTCCTAAACTTCTAACAGATACAACATAAACCGATCCTTCAGCCTCATATGAGCTCTCAGACACGTTCAACATTAAACTGTGTGAGCTTGCTGCTGTGTGCGCCATCGTGCGTTTACATGCAGATGCTGGGATCCTGAACGGTGCAGCTGGAGCGCTGTGCCCGCAATGACGTCACACGTAATTTGGCGGGACTTGAAGAATCCCCGAGCAGATCCAGAAAATGGTCAACATTGAAGGGCAGATTAATGGTTATCAAAGTACAAATATCCAAAATCAGTTCAGTAACGGTTTTCAAGGGGACAATATTTACTCAAATTGATGGGTTTGGATGATGGGGGAAACTCGTGTCACAGGCTCTTTAAGATCTATGATTAATATTAAGCATGTGGTAAAGATCGATTATGCACAAGTTGAAAGATTGTTGGCTATCCCTAAATTCTCAACACCCCTTACCTTGTATTTAGGTGTAGTCCATGATGAAAAAAAACATGTTTGCCTTTATTAAGAATCTGTACACAGCTTAATTTTTGTATTGTGTTTTGTGATAAACATGAAGCAGAAATGCACCCACCTGTGACTCAGTCTTTTCAGGGTCTTGTCTCACCCATGTATCTATGGACACCCGTTTGAACTCGACCGACTCCTCGGACAGGACTGGTTCCACACTCTCAGGAAGTTCCTCCTTCTCCACTCCTAGGATTGTCATTTCAATGGCCTTTGCAGCTCTGACCAGTTCTCCTTTGTCTGGGGAACACAACATATGCATACGATTTAATCAGTTGTACAAATCAATATTGAAGTAGTTACCATTTCCTTATTTTAGAGAATCAACTCACCATCCAATCTCAGGTTGACAGAATCCTCTGAAGATCCAGATCTTGAGCTGCCGCTGTGGGTTCTGGGTTGGGATTTGGAAGAGGGGCTCGCAGCCCTCTTGTTCCTGTTCCTGTGGCTGGAGGACCTGGAGCCGGCCCTGTCGCGACGTGGTGGTGCTTGGCGGCTACGGTCATTTCTGCGATGGTTGTCACAGCGACAACGGGAAGAAGGTCTGTGGCATCGGGGGTGAGAGCGGGACCTGGAATGAGACGAGGAGCTGCTGCTGCTGGAGGATGATCTGTAGCGCCTCCTGCGGCTGACACGGCCCTTGGAGCGGCCGGAGCCAGAGGTGGGTTTGCTGCCACTGTTGCTCCTGGATCGGGAGCGAGAAGGGACCGGGCTGCTCTGGTCAAAAATGACTTTGATGCCATCAATTTGACGATCGTAGGCCATTTTAGAGTGTGCGACTTCTCCCTTGGCCATTGTTTATGTGTACTGCCACAAGCTGTGAAATAAAACATACACAAATATTAATACGTTTCTTTTAACTAGCTTTCAAATAGCTATGTTCGAAGTATTAATAACTGGCGCTATCAGATATTTGAACAAAGTAATATTATTTAAATATGCCTACGTCAAAACATGGCGAGCAGATATACGTAACTGCAATGGCGGAGATGAGGCCTACTGGAAAATTCCAGAATGACGCAAGCTAAAGATAGCTTAAGCTAACAGCTGCTGTAACTCCAAACCAGACCTTGTCAAATTCATTCGCCTGTGATTTGATAACAAGTTTAACACATACATTAAATGACATTTCAACGTAATATTACTATAATATGATTTAAAGCAGCGGATACAAGTACATCTGGATTGGCCAAACAAAATGAGCCATGCTAGCGGACGGAAGTTAGTAGTAAGGTCTTACCGTGTAGATTGTAGCTTTGTTCTGGTGGTAACGTCGATGTAAACGATTCAAGGCAAGAAAATAACCTTCAAGACGATATATTACGAATATTAATCAAATATGTGAGTTTGTAGCCGTTTATTAGCAAAAGCGAAGTCGATGTCTCTTCGTCGGGGTTGATCCGTCTGTCGTCGTCGCTTGTTTTGTAACTAGTGTTGCTGTGGGCGCAGAGCTACTTTCAAAGCCTATGGAAAATTCCAGTCACGTGACGATAGCGGTTCATAACCTGTTCAAAACTCATGAACGAAAGGAGTTGATTCTCTGTCTGTGGGCCAACGTTTTTCCTCCTTGTGCCCTTATTACTAATGTTTTATCAACCTGAATTCGAGATGAAAGAAGGCGATTTATTTCAGTTCGTTCAGACTATGATACAATACAAAAATAATCCAATTATGTTGTCCTAGCTGAAAAACAACATGGAAGCAAACATGTTTGAATCCATCTTTACAAAGATATGGGATGAAATGCAACATTTTATTATACATGCCTACAAATTATAGATACATACAAATATACCATGCCGTGCCCGTGTCTGTTATGCAACGCCTTCATTTGGAATCACCTTTAATGAGAAAAGTACACATTCAGGGGATTTGACTTATTCTTATTATAGTAATATTTCTCAACTTAGACTACTTGCAAGGCTTTCTTGCACATATATTGACATAATAGCTAGTCAACAAAGCTAGACAAATAAAGGTAAAGAAAAGACTGGATAAATATGGACACCAACATCAGAAAATAGTTGTAAATATATTACAACTAACTGAAGATTTTGAGTAAGCTATTTAGCAATAACATGCTTATTGTTTTGTTAACTAATCTTTAATTTGCTGACTTTGTTTCAGGAATACAGTTATGTAATCCTATAACAAACAATCAATTCAGTGCGCATTATTATGTGAAAGCAACGAGATCCCTAAAACGCAGTATTATGGTGGTGTTGCCCTTTAAATGTAACCTCGCTCTGTAATCTCGCGATCTTTTATATAACCTCGAATCTGTTAGCTAATCTGCTTGCTGTTCCTGCCCACTGACTCCTCACTTGCCTATACGCGGATCCCTGATTTGCACGTTGCAGTCTTTTGAAAACTTGAAACAGGCAAACGTATCGAGCAGAAATGGATATGCTAACTGTGCTACCGTCCAACTTTGGATATGCCATATTTACATACCTCTACAGCTGGATCATGCTGGGGTATTTAGCAGTCAAGGTTGGGGGTGCGAGGAAGAAATTCGATGTTAAGGTAGATAACTTTACTTTAAATAAGGAAAACAGGTTGCAAAGTTCTGTGGACACTAATGCTTTTATTGGATGTGTTTTGCTTTTTTGTTTCTTGCTTTAATATGACATGTTTAATCTCTCTATTTTGTAGTATCCCACTATGTACAGTGACACGCATCAGGTATTCAACTGCATCCAGAGAGCCCATCAGAACACCCTGGAGGTGTATGCTCAGTGGCTGGTTTTCCAGACCATTGCAGCCCTTGTGTATCCGGTATGTGTATCCTGCTTTTATCCTGCATACACACAAAATACTTTGTTGTTGATGTCTATAATATTTATTCAATAATATGAGAGCTCAGAAGTGGATTTTAAGGACTACTTAAAGTGTTACAAAACAAAAATGTGTAGGAGGGTGGCGCAGGCAATCCTCATGAACTCTGGCATCTATTCTCCAGATAATAAAGACAGCATGGGGACAGTGTCACAGTGACTCAGCATATTTCCATTACACTGTGTCACCCCTTTATTTCCTAAACTGTTTATAATTCTGGTTTTCTGTTTGTTCATAATCCCAGTTGTCAGCGGCTGTTCTGGGGGCTATTTGGGTGACCAGCAGGTTCTCCTATGCCTGGGGCTACTACACAGGAGGTAAGACTGCTATTGTGTTAATGTTATCCTCATTTATTGTTTTTTTGTCCAAAAGATGTTGCACACATTTTAATGCTGGCAAAACGCATTAAAAACACACACTACCAATAATATAAATATATATCATAGTATATGGGTCAAAGTTATATGCACATATAGTCATTGAAGGAATATAGGCAGATTATAAAATTACATCAATACTGAGTGATGTCTATCCTGTTGAACTCATCAGAATGTATCTATACAGATAAAGCCAGAAATCTAGGTGTAGTCATGGACTCTGACCTGAGTTTCAACAGTCACATTAAAACAGTTACTAAATCAGCCTACTATCACCTAAAGAATATATCTAGGATTAAAAGACTAATGTCACAGCAGGATTTGGAAAAACTTGTCCATGCTTTTATCTTCAGTAGACTGGACTACTGTAATGGTGTCTTCACAGGTCTCACTAAAAAATCTATTAGAAAGCTGCAGCTGATTCAGAACGCTGCTGCTCGAGTCCTCACTAACACTAAGAAAGTGGATCACATCACTCCAGTTCTGAAGTCTTTACACTGGCTTCCTGTGTGTCAAAGAATAGATTTTAAAATACTGCTGCTGGTTTATAAAGCACTGAATGGTTTAGGCCCAAAATACATTTCTGACCTCCTGCTAAATTATGAACCATCCAGATCTCTCAGGTCTTCAGGGACTGGTCAGCTTTCTGTCCCCAGAGTCAGAACTAAACATGGTAAAGCAGCATTCAGTTATTATGCTCCAAATATCTGGAACAAACTCCCAGAAACCTGCAGGTCCACTGCAACTCTGACTACTTTTAAATCCAGGCTGTAGACTTTTCTTTTTGTCGCTGCTTTTAATTGAACTATTCATATCTTAGACTGCACTGTAACTTTTATCCATGTACTTTTTTTCTTTTAATGTTTAATTGACTGCCATGTATTTTTTTCTTTTTATGTTTATTTTATTAGCTTTTCTTTTTAATGACTGATTTTAAATGCCATTTTCTTAATCTCTTTCATTTTTTGTAAAGCACTTTGAATTGCCTTGTGTTGAAAAGTGCTATATAAATAAACTTGCCTTGCCTTGCCTTGCCTATATTTGCAAAAAAATACTCATCATTTAAAGCATTAGTGGTGTAAAAACTAATTACATGCCCCCAGTTTTGTTTACTCATTCACAGAAGATAGCATTGACAAAAAGATAATGGAAACTAAGACATGCATGGTGTCTAAAATATTGCAATTATTTAAGTAGTTTTAAAACAAGTAATGCAAGTTGGATTTCATTCCACTTTAGATAAGATTAGATGTACGTAAAATGATTTTATTTTGTCACAGCAGCATGTTGACAAGTATTACACATGAATTAAAAATACAATAAATAGAATGAAATATAAATCTAAACAAAAATGACAATATACAGAATAAGGTAGAATACTCTATAATAGACCAGTTTATTGCTAGAACAAAAATAAATAGGCATAGTATATGATATACATTATTTAAATAAAATGTTATAAAAGTGATAATTTAATGTAGGCTATTCTCAACAGAATAGTGTTCATTGTTGTTTCATATAGTTCTACTTTGAATGTTAACATTGTTCTGTTTTATGTTTTATTTCAGATCCATCTAAGAGGATGTATGGAGCCTACGGCTACATTGGATTCTTTGGCGTCATCTTCCTGTCCATATCTGTAGCCCTGCAGTTGCTTAGAGTCTATTAAGACAATTATCATCTTGTTTACTCATTTTTACTGACTTGCATGACACTTCAAATGTATCAACTATAAACAGCAGTACAATTCATAATAATCTCAAATTGTAATGCGTTAGATATTTTGTATGGACCACTAGCTTGATACTATCTTTGTAATGCAATTATGTTTTTCAATGTCTACTCCATCAACAATAAAGTAGATTCTGATCCAAACAGACCCAGATACTGTAAGTCTTCTTTAGTACCCTGTTCACAGTTAGTTAGCATTAGAGCTGGGAATTAAGAAAGGGATCTGCAGCCTGCACTTAGGCCCCATGTGACTCCCACATGATGTGCCAATCTCACTGCAAATGGTTTTAAAAAAAATCTAAAGGTCATCTAAAAAAAACTAACAGATATAAGAACATGTTGATGTGAAATAATCTAAATTTCTCTGAAATAACCAAAACTTTTGTCAATCAACAGCATGTTTTAAACAAGTAGGCACATTTAGCTTTAGTTACCTTGGTTGGTTATTGGCTAATGGTGGCCAAAATCTGATCAGCTCATTTTCAGACAGGTTTTTATATAAATGGATCAGGACAAAAAGTCAGCAAATCTTTGTTCCTGAAACTGTCAGAGTCTCTTTACACAGAGGGGACACGTGTTTATGTATAGAATACATGAAAAAGTGGATTTAGCATATTAGGTGACCTTTAAGTTTCTGCCATTATGTAACTTAATTTAATTACAAATGTACTCTTGTATTATTTTCGGCTTCGAGTCGAGCTTGCAGTATTATTAGAAGTGAATGTGAAAGTATCATCAAAATGCTTATTCACAGTGATTCGTTCATAAACTAGTTCTAAACTTGTACTTCCTATACGAAACTTTTGTGCGGTAATTGTCCCTGCAGAAAATGAAAAAAATTACTCCAAAGTCGGATTGTATATAGTTTAGTGACTGTTTTTAACATAGCAGTAATACTTTATACTAAAACTGTTGTATTGCACTGTAAATGTTCAAACGGTAGACGATAAATTGTTTTATTTGTCATTACCTTTTAGCATCAACATATTTCGAGGTCATAATATGCACTTCCATTTGTTCATGTATTCGTTACAGTAAAATCATCTATTAATGTCACAAAGTAGGCCTGCCTGATAGTCTACTTTTTAAATATCTTTAAATGGCTTGTAATGTTACCATATTCCCACGTTGTCCACAACACCTGAACGCACCAGTATCAACGTCGATCAAACGGGCGTGCATGAACTGCGCATGTGCATGACCGAGCTGTATCGGAAGCACAAATCGGGCTTAACCAGGGGATTCACATCAACAAAAACGAAAATAAAAGGTAAGAATTCCTTTGAAAATGGCACTACAAACAAGTAATGACCCCGGGGTGTGTTTTTACGCTCAGTACTACAGTTGTCGTTTGAGTTATTCTATTCTATTTTTTTAGCAACTTCGTAGCGAGAAGAAACCTTCAAGGAAATGTTTGCTAATGCCAAAGCGATGAACAAAAGAAACCGTGGACACATCCCTGTTTGTATCTGGTCTAGTCATATATATATATAGTAGTTTTTGTTACAAGTATAAACTGGATACATTGTCAGCCTTGGTGTCGAATAGATTACCGAGTTAAGTGTACAAATACTTAGTGATAGTTGGTGCTTGGTATATAAACCAGGGAGTTGAGCATCATAGTAACGTACTGCGGTTGCGCACAAACATTGTTTTTCCGTTCTAATATCAATTTGTTGGTGAATTCCATTTGGCTGGTATACATAACGACTGTGTATTTCCGTAAACTGTTGATGTTGTTGTTTAAAGCATTTTGACCTTACGCGCTTTCCCAGAGTCATGTCAGGTTTTCTGGACGGAATCCGGTGCGGAGACTGCGAGTGCAATGTGGACTGGGGGGAGAGAAGAAACGCCATCGCTTCTGTAGCTGCTGGAGTTCTGGTATATACATGAGCTTCTCAATAACGAGCAAACAAACTAGCTAAGGAGATGAAAGTGCAAGGCCTTCCTGCTCTTTGTTTGCATCTGGCTCCTAGCATTTAGTATATGTAGAGCAGTGGTGTAAAGTACTGTACTTAAGTACAATTTTGAGGTACTTTTACTCCACTGCATTTATTTAGTAACTTTGTAGATTTAGTTTAGCTATGTGAAATATAATCAACACTTAAATCAGACTTTAGCAACACCTAGAGAACATCTACAAGCTACCCTGCACCATACTAGTAATTAAACTAGCTGCCCCTTTACCAGCTTTGATTACACTCTCTTGCAACATATCATGTATATTATTCTGAAATGGACCAATCTGCATAATTAGTCATTCTACTTTTGATTTATATTTGTGATGCTTGTACTTTTACTTGAGTAACATTTTGAATGCATTACCTTTTACTCTAACAGAGTATTCCTGCACTTTGGTACATCAACTTTCACACAAGTACAATATCTAATTATTCTTCCACCTCTGATGCAGAGCTTTATATACCTGTTTTACCAGGGTACACATTTACTACACATTTTCTGACATCCATGTTTGTTTCGGTCATGAAACTCCTGCGGCTAACTGTGGATCTTGTTGTTGCAGTTCTTCACTGGTTGGTGGATCATCATTGATGCAGCAGTGAAATATCCTGAAGAGGGGGAGTTTCATCATGCCTACCACACCTGTGGAGTCATCGCTACAGTGGCCTTTCTCATGTAAGACATACTCTGTCAGGAGTCTGTTTCTGTCACTGGAAATGTTTGACAATATGGTCGTATCATAGGTTTCATTATTTATTATTTTGGGTGCACTCGGCTGAATGCAGCCTCAGGTTAAAGGCTCATCTCCAGGCCTAACTTCCCCCCTCCCCAATGAGATGTTATCATGTGACCTCATTTTAGTCACATGATCACTGATGGTCCTGAATAGGGAGTAGTAACCCCTGCCTTTGTTCAATAATAGTCAATAATGATGTCAGATTTGAATTGCCTTCTTAAAGGACCATTTCACCACAAAATAATAATAATAAAACAATACTTCTCCTCTGACATGAATGCTATTATCAATCTGGGTTGCAGATTACTGGAGACATTGCCTTTTAGAGATGTCTGCCTTCTTTTCACTATTATGGAACCGAATGGAATTCTGCTTACTGTGCTCCACATGTGTAGTTCAGTTATAGTAGAACGGGAGAAAAGGCATTTTCATGTAGGAACTATTGACTGTGCAGGAGGAAGGAATGAATATATTCTAATGGATATATTAAGCATCTTACAAAAAAGTTAGTGGACTATCTTGTTGGTCATGATTTCTGGAGAGCAACACTGTTGTTGACTTTAAAACAAAATAGTTTAGCCTTGTTAGCATCCCAAACAAAGTGCCATCTTGTTTAATCAGATTGGAGATATGGCAGACATCTCTTCAGAGGATATCTCAAACACCAAGCGACTCACACCAAAACAATCTAGACAATCTGAATTGATAGAGGAAACCAACCCAATCGTCTGAACTGAGCTGCTCCAGGGCATGGTGGAAAGCACCAATTAACTTGGACCTTTTTTTCTATTTCCCAGCTCAAAAAAGGCTTCATTTTGGGAGAGCGTCATAATGCTCATACTTCTTAAAATCTAAAGGAAAAGCATTCTTAATATATACAATTATTAACATGGAGTCTGTCATGATAAGCAATCAGGTGAAGTGAAATTATTTAGAAGCCGATGTGTTTGTAATTCTCTCCTTCGACTTAGGATCAATGCTGTTTCCAACGGCCAGGTGAGAGGGGACAGCTATAGTGAAGGCTGCATCGGACAGACAGGTGTGTATGATTGGATATGATCAACTGTGTATATCTCACCACAAACACCTAATTCCCCCCATTTATATACATGGCTTTTTTACTGGACATACCTCTGCAGCACTTTTGCTGTAATATCAGACCATTTCCTTGTAATAGTGTTACAACATACATGCAGTTTAATGCAACTACATAAGAAAAATGGAATGTCCACCCTGTAACGCAGCCTCTCTTATCTCTGTTTGCAGGCGCTCGAGTTTGGCTCTTCATCGGCTTCATGCTGGCGTTTGGCTCCCTCATCGCCTCTATGTGGATCCTGTTCGGAGGATTCGTAGTGCCTCGTAAGTCGCAACGTGCACCAATTGCAGGAAAAAGAGAGAAGCCAGTATGATGCCGTAACTTAAATACATTTGCTGTATAAAGAGAGCTCTTCATTTACTTGATTGAAATGTCGAATTATAACTGCTTCCTTATTTTGTAACCTGTGTTATATCTCTTGTCTCGTGCAGAAAAGCCTGTCGTGTACCCCGGTATCGCCATCTTCTTCCAAAACGCGTTCATTTTCTTCGGGTAAGTTCCTCCCCAGCATCATCCTACAAACCCATGCTTATTTTCTCACAGATTTTTGGGGGAAATATTTGTCTCACACTATCTTCTTGTCTCCTTAGGGGTTTGGTCTTCAAGTTTGGCCGTACAGAGGACCTGTGGCAGTAATGGACTCTGTGTGTCTTTGTGTCCACTGTTTATACACTCTGTTTTCTCTATTGTATAAGACAATATGCTTTAGTGGTTATTCACTTTATATACAAACTTTTTTAGCTTTCAAATTAACTTGTTTAATTTATATTGTTTGCTGTATAATGGAACATCTTTAAATGTGTCTATTTGCACTCAACTGTGTAGCCATGTTTGTTCTAATGGTGTACAGCTTGTGTATAACAACGTGTGTTTCTTGGGAGCTTTATTTCTCTGAACTGTCCACATTTAGTTTGGGTATACTTACTTTTAACATCTTTTGAGTGGACACAGCATACATTATTATGGTACAAACCATCATTGAGGGCAATATTTCATAACACTGTACACATTTACTGAATGTAACCATATGGGTTGTTTTTGACTGCAACGCCTACCTATTTGCTTGTGTAACATCAAAACCATGAGGTGTGTTTCTTACAACTGTGGCAGCATTAAACAGCAACATACCGTGCAGAAACCAAGTCTTGCATTCATGCTTTTATGTTTTATTTTTTTATTTTGCACATATAAAAAAACATCAATGCACTAAGTAAGCAAAATGGTGTAAAATGATTTACATCAATATGAATGGACCACCAAAAATAGTTTTCCAGAATCTTGGTCTTCTTACTTTTGCACTGCAAGATGGGGAAACTGCAAAACAGGAAAATATTTTGTTCAATGCTGTACGATGAAACGTTTTTAAAATTATTTACTGCTTTGTGAAATGATCAAAATGTACAATACACATTTTCAGTGCAGTTATACAATTGTTTTTAGCCAGATTATTGCCTAAAAAGTAACTGTTGTTGGCCTACCTCCCAGAAAGCCTGATCATCAAAACACTTCTTGTCTTGGGGAGGCCTCCAGAAGTTCCACTTGAGTAGGAGCCCTTAAAACAATGACATATTGAAGTAAAAAACACGTTTAAATGGAAAGTAGACCTGCAACGATTAGTCTACTAATTTATAAGTTGATCATAAAAATAATCACCAACTTTCTTTGGTATTATTGGTAGTTTTTATGCAAAAATTGTAATACACGTGTTATTTTAGTCTATTAAATGTGGGGATTTAATGCTTTAAAAAATATATATATTATATTAAAATGAATATAGGGTTTTAAACTGACTTAACAAGACATTTAAAAACATCACCTTGGATTTTGAGAAACCAGGATGTGCATTTCCACTATTTTCAGATTTTCTTTTGTTGATTAATCCAGAAAATAATCATTAGTTTCAGTCTTAATGAAAACATACTGCCAAATAGGGTTTTAAAGATATGTTTTGGGTCACATTTCACTGTTGCTAGCATTCTGTTGTGTCTGAATAATTCAAAATGGACCTTCTGTCTTCTTGTATGATTGAGCCTGTTAATAATGGAATCTACATGAGAATACCTACCTGTAATGATTCCCATGCACAGACTTAAAGAGATGGTGATGAAGAGAGAACAGATGTGAAATACAGCAAACCGCATTGCCCTATAGGGAAGAAAAGGACCAGTTACAGGTGATACGCCTTTTGACTGTTGCAATGAGATCCTTGTGTTCTTACGCTGTGTGATCATCGCAGTCTTTAATCTGTAGCAGGAGATGTGCCAGCCATCCCAGCAGACCAGGCAGTCCGTGTGTGCTCAGGACAGCACAGGTGTCATGGCACTTAAACGCAAGCAGCATGTGGCTCTGAAACATAGAGTTTATGATGAATCGGAATCAAAATACCTTGAAAAAATGTAGAAAAAAAGATGTACAAGTACAATTAAAAGTTGTTTAAATAACAAAAAAGGTAAAGTAAAATGTCCAGTAAAAGATTAAATGAAAAGAAAAGGTTATATAAACAAGAAGAGTGAAAGTAAAATGTCTAATAAAATATTAAATACAATTTCAAACAAAAAATTATTAAAAATATTTATATAAACAGGAAGTTAAAGTAAAAATGTGCATATAATGTGTATATTATCATATGAACAGTGTATCATCAATAAGATATGGCTGAATTGCACTGGTTTGCCTTCTTATGTCCTAGTGCCATGAGTTGTGTTTTATAGATTTTTCGTCCATGTGGTGATCAAAACCTTAAGATATCTGAATCCAATGGTGGATACAACAGCAGCAGTGAATCCGATCGTCATGGCTTCCCATGGCTGATGAACCGCTGGCATGGAAACCCCAATAGAAACACCGCCAGCAAGCATGCAAGACTGCAAATGGATCTGAGAGAGAAGTGAGGATGTGTGGCTGTTATTAATTAATTAGAGTGCTATTTGATTATCTAAGTAAAAGTCATTACGCAACATGCGACAACTGTTCCTGAAAGAGCACAACGTTGTGTTATATCATATAATAGTGTCAGAGTACCGGGTTGAGTTTTCCCTCGGGGCTGGAGAGCGAAGACACAGCAGCTGCTGTCACAGCACTGACTGCCAGGGCCAGGTAGGTGCTGAGCACGGCCCCCAGCCTCCTCCCAGGGGTATGATTATCCACTAGGACGGAGTTAAAACTGGGCCAAAACACACAGAGAAACAAAGTCCCTGTGGAACAGAGGTTATACATTATGCCTTAGCATGGTGGGTGCTTGCTGATTCATTGCTTCAATGTATATCTCTGGTTGAATAGATTTCCCACTTGTTGCAATTATCCTACTCAACCCTATCCATCAATAACATAAGGAAAATACCTTACCCAATATGGAGAACAATCCTGTTTTGCGATCAACTTTCTCTTTTTCAAATGGTTGCTCGGATCCTTTCCTGTACAGGATCCGGGTCAGCATGAGCCCAAAGAAGGCCGCGAAAATGTGAAGCAGCATGATGCTGTTCAGAGGCGGGACCTAGAGTTAGAAAACATAATTAGGAACGTTTAAAAGTACTGCATGTGTATAATGTGAACATATTTGGCCAAATGTAAGTTGAAGATAGTGGCTGATACCTTCAGCAGAGTCTGGAGGAGCCATTCATTCAGGACAAACCCTGAGACCTCCAGCAGAGCGATGAGGATCAGATGGACAGGGTTAGTCTTCCCCAGCACGACTCCAATTGAAATGAGGGCAGAAGCTGCACACATCTCCGCAACCACTAAGCTACATTAAAGGAGACACATTTTAGGGTGTGTACTTGTGTTTTGTTATTCCATTACAATATTCATGCGCAAACATTTTAAAAACCATATATTTGTTCAGTGGCTTGCAAGTGGCTTAGGCCTTGAGATACTCAGAAAAGGGCCGGAATATTAATGAGCCTGCATGTGACAAAATCAGGGGAGAAAACACTGTATGGCTTGGTTCAATAAAATACAGGTTGTTGGCACTCCTGCAGAATGCATGTCCTCTTTTTCCTATGGCTATAGATAGTGTAAGGACAAATGTTTTCTGTAGAGATCATTTGCTCAAACAGATTTGACCTACCTTTTCAAGTCTATCCTGATCTTTCCTCTGTAATACCAGTTCTCAATGCCATTGAGTATGATAGCCCATTGGGTGGCTATGACAGCCACAAGGAGGTTGAACCCAGCGCCACTGAAACCATACCGCACCAGAAAAGTGCACATGTAGCCAAAACCTAGAATCACCATCACATTCACATCCTGGAACTCTGTAAGAGAAAATAATGCCAGATACCTGCATTTAAAATACAATGACTTATTCTGTGTTTCAGCATACAGCCAATTTTCCCGCCCCAAGTCTTCTGCTGCTGAAGAACCAGCAACTGTAAAACCTTATCACTGCCCAACAGTAATAACTGCAGCCCCTCCTTGTTTTCCTAATATGTAACTTAATGCTGCTTTTAAAGAACCTTTAAGAATTAGCTTTAAACATACGTAATTTTCCATTGAATTCACCTTTTAACCCTTGCTATCTCACCCCACCCCCATTTCAAACTCACCAGGGTACAAGTTGCTGAAGGTAATCCCATACACTTTTACATTGCTTTCAATCTCAATGTAAAAGGCATATATGAGAATGAATCCTAGCTGCAGAACAAGCAGCATAGGAGCCAACCTGGAGCGCAGACTTGGTGCGTATTGAGGAGCCATTGGAAAGGATCCCTGCACACTTCTCTTCCAACTGACGCAAGTGTGGCCCCTGCGCTTTGGACAGGATACAACCCAGACCCAGGCACATCACTTTGTTTGATCAGATACTGGGTGGGCAGGATGAACACGTCTCTCTTGATTGGTCATGATACCAAATGTATTTATTCCAACCAAACAGCAACAATGTATTCCCTTAACACACTGCAATACGATTAAGGTCATGGAAAAAAATGTTTTACATTAACGTCAAATTTCATTTAGTGAAATTTATAATTATTATTTATTATAATTTTAGTTTGACCATAAGAGACACAATAACATGCAGTAATGTTAGCTTAAAGCACATATGGATAACATTACTGTACTGTTATAATCAAAATTATAATAATTTCAAAATAAAATATTAATTATTTGGTTATCTTTGCTACACAAAACGATTAAGGTCACTTCCGTTTTGGCTACAAGTCTTCAATAATACTTTCACTCTTTCACTTTTACTTTCATTATGACACTTTATGGTTCCACTTCCAACTGCAATGACGGACAGAAATTCATGGGAAAGGTGTTAACATTATAAACAACGACAGCTGTAACACCCCCTGTTTTACTCAAACACGCACACGCACGCGTCCACTTGTATGTGCACACATTTGAACCTAGTAACAAAACATAGATGGTACTACACAAAGCCTTGGGGCAAGCCTCTCATGAACTACAGACACAGTGGGCCTGATATAAATAACCCCCGTGTGTTGGAATCGTTGGAATGAGGGTTTTTGTGTCTCGCACAAAGGGAATGTTGTCCAAAAGACTGCATATGTTCTGCTCATAATAAACCAAAGGCAAAAACTATTGAGAAAAAAAGCCCGCCTCCGTGATAAGTTCATTGGTCGACCAGCGATGCCCGAATTGTCCACAACGATCTGATTGGTTCAACAGGGAGACGTTTCTGACTCGGCGTCCCACTCCCCCTCGCTCTCCCCTGTAACGTAAATGGCTCATCTCTGCATCCGTCAAAGAGAGAGTCCTCGGCGGTTAGATTGATTGGATATACCAGCCGTCTGACAAGCGGACGTACGTAAAACACAGCGCGGCTGTGGCTTATTGAGTCTGCGCTAACAGAAAAGGAGGAGGTTCCCGAATAGAGTCATTTATTTATTTCTTTGTTTCCAGTGGGGAAAAATAATAACAGCGACATATACCACAGGCACTTCATTTATTATCTGGGTCCGAATACTCAAGAAAACTGGATAAGATTACAGTGGTTACTCGAAGGCCAAAGCCAAGGGGAGGAGGATGAAGCGGCGCAATGCGGACTGCAGCAAACTCCGACGGCCGTTAAAACGGAACCGAATCACTGAGGGTATATACGGCAGGTAACTCATATGGAGCCAGGCGGAGGGGTCCTCCTCACCACAGTGACAAGGGGCACTGAGTGGGGATGCTTGAAGTCTCATACTGTGGAACGTCTCTAACGTTACCATTGATATCAATGAACTGCAACTGCCAGCTAGCTTATTAACATAGTTAATGGCCAGTGATAGCTTAATGTATGCTAGCTGTATGTTTTTGTTGTACATGAGCAGGTAACGTTAGCTGTTAAGCTAGCCTTAGCGCTAGGCCCCAAAACAGCCTGTTTTTAACCATGTCACAACGTCTGTTTCTCTGAAATAAGGTGCCGTGGGTCCTTGAACACTCACTAACAACCCAGACTATCTACCGTTTGCCCAAGTCAGTTGTCATCTGCTAGTTGCATCTAAATGAGCCGTTTCTCTGTTAGCTAAGGTAGTTTTGGAGCTAGCACAACAGCAGCATTGCCAACTTTAACCATGAGTCCCATTTATCTACATCATATCACAACATATCATTTTAACATGAACTGTAAACACGAATTGATACAAATGTGGTTGGTTTTACTTCTGAAGACCATGTGTTGCACTATTAAGACAACTTAAGGCTGCTTAGTTTTACACCTGGCTATCTAACTATGTGTGACTTCCTATGTGTCTGACAAACTAAACGTTAAAGGCCACTGGTTACACACGTGGCATCTGAACCCAGTGATGAGGGGCGGTTCTTGAATGATTGAGCAGGTGCTCCTACCACAAAATAGGTTTGCTTTGAGATCAGAGAACACTCCGACTGTCACTTTCTGGGTCTCAGTGTCCTATTGACAGACAATGTAAACTGTCAAATGTTTCTCTTGTAATGTATTGGCATGAATCATGGCAAGAACCAGCAATAAACTACAACATTATGTGTATTTATAATCTCCACAATTTTTGAAAAATTGCTATATATTATGCCATGTACAAATGTTAAAAGGTCAAACAGGTCAGAGTGCAGACATACCTCATCTTGATGGCTTTACAAGTCTGACATTTCTATGCACTTGTTCTGTATAAAGGAAGATTAACATTTAAATATATAAACCGCTAAGAGGAAGTGCAATGCGAACTTGCATGTTATCTGTCAAACAGCAGCAATAGGCTCCAGACATCTTGCATTTGATTCACACACACCCACAACACGCTTACATTAAAGCTGGATCTCCTTTTGAAGCATTGATCTCAGATGACATGCCGTTTTAATAATGACTATTGGGGGTAAATAAGAGTGCCATTCACTTTTGAATCTTGCAGTGTTTTCTGTTTTACAAAACACGTTTCATACAAACGTTTTCATTCTCATGTTTTAGTACCTTCCTGTACCTGAAGTTCCTGGTGGTTTGGGCCCTGGTGCTGCTGGCAGACTTTGTATTGGAGTTCAGGTTCGAGTACCTCTGGCCGTTCTGGCTCTTCATCCGGAGTGTGTACGACTCCTTTAGATACCAGGGGCTGGTGAGTGGCTATTTCTTTATACTTATTAGGATTTCATAAAAGTCAAGAAAGAGCGTAGACCTTTTTTATACCTATTGTTTTTCACAACTTAACTTTTAGATTTTCACACAAAGATAAACAAGTACAAACCTACTATAATTATGTGGTTATACTTCATTTAGAATGTTTTTCAACACCATAGCGCTACTGTAACCGCCAGTTTCATGGACACATGCAAACAGTTACTCTATTATCACAGAATTGTATTTCAAAATGCCTTGACCTAAATATAAGCAACTAAATGTCTTCGCAATCATATCTTGTTTCATGTCAACTAAACAAAAAGCCTAAACATTGATTCATATGCTTAGCAAGAGGAACATTCAAAAGTATGGGTAGATAGATCTTATCAGGTGCTAAGTTATTATCCCAAATCCATCATAGATTGACTTTCCTGTGGGTCCTTTATTGATGCTGGACACTTTGCTTTCATTGAGCTGCAATCTGTAGGTGTGTGTTGGTGGTGAATATGTGTCTCAGGGATGCACACACGTAATATTCACCTAACGATTTGGGGCATAATTCAACCATGAAATGTGAAGTTTAATCAACCAGAGCAAGATCACTCTAACAAGAATGAAATGTCTTCAACATCTTAAGGGGGGCTGTTAGCCTCGACTCCTATCTTTGACTTTTATATCGAAGATATTTTTAGTTTTATGAAAGCTTGTGTTTCATGATAATCATACCAGCCTCTCCTCTCTCCTTCAGGCCTTCTCAGTATTCTTTGTGTGTGTGGCATTTACCTCGGACATTATTTGCCTCCTCTTCATCCCAGTGCAATGGCTATTCTTCGCTGCCAGTACCTATGTGTGGGTGCAGTATGTTTGGCATACAGGTGAGGCCCTCCAATGTGTATAAGTGTCTTGATATATGTGAGTTTAAATACTGCATATGAGCCCTTGCTCTAACCGTAGTCTCATTTAATCTCTTTTCTACATTAGTTCTGATAACAATTCAAACAAAAGAATGAAGGAAGAAGCTTTCTGTGTATTCAAATGATGGACTACAAAGATAAAGCGTTCTTTAAGGTCACAGACCACACTACTTCTTAGAACTGGCTCTATTTTTTGTTGTTCTTCCACTTAGTGCTTTGTGGGGAAAAACAGGTGTGAAAAGTGTTGCGCAATCCCCTGCACATTGTGTTATCGCATTTACAAATACTTGGTTTATGCTTCTAAGAATTGTGCATGCTGTGTGTAAGCTCTGCAGACAAGTTGTCAGTCTGATTTAGCGGTGTCCCCCGTGTTGACTGAAGGCCAGGTGTCAGATGGAAATCCTAGTGCTAGCTGGGGGAAGGAGAAACACAAGAGTGGTTCCCAGTTGCTTTTTCAGCTCTCTAATTTTACTCACCAGTGACATTCTCTGTTGAAGTATTCATATCTCTTAACACTCCACGGCCCGCTGGGGAAAGTCTTGCGGCTTAGTGCAGCCAAGGAAACAATGGGTAGTGTCTGTAGCCTGACAACTGCATGTGTTTTGTAAATAATAGCCATGTAGAGTGCAGAGAAGGCGTTTACAGAATAATGTATGAAAGGTCTATTTTCATCAAGGCTTCACTTACATTTGACACAGATGCTGCTTTAACTGATGACATCGCACTGGAAGATACACTCTTGAACCGCAAACAAAAATATAAAGCATATTTGATCAAAATGGAGGTGTGCTGCAAGAGATCGAGAGCACAGTAGTGTAACAATGGAGTCCATAAAGACTTGCTAATGTCGTTATTCTAAAAAGTTTGTTTCGGACCGTTTTATTGGCTGCAACATCATATGGTAAGCACTAGGGTCAGCTGTGCTATCCATTTTCATCAAAATAAGCTCAGGCATATTATTGTAAGATAGAAATGTGTATACAGCATGAAATAATGATCCAGGCAGGGACTTGTGAAGGAATAATTAAACAATGATATAGTATTCTGTGCCAACATTGCCATTTTGGTCCTCCTCATTGCTATGGACACAGTGAAGATGGCACATAATGCTGATGTTATAACATGTCTGTCCTGCTTTGTTTGTTTTCCAGAGAGAGGAGTCTGCCTGCCCACAGTGTCTCTATGGATACTCTTTGTGTACATCGAGGCAGCCATCAGATTCAAAGACCTGAAGAACTTCCACGTGGACCTGTGTCGTCCCTTTGCTGCACACTGGTGAGCTGCTGTTCTGTTTAAACTGTGTGAAACTCTGTTCCTGACAGAC